TCTTATATATATATATATATATATATATATATATATATATATATATTCCCCCGAAAATAAGACCAACAAACAAACTGGAAAACTATACAAAATAATAATATTTTTTAATTAAATAAAAGTATGATTACGGATGAATTAGTGGTAGGACACTAACACATTATCCACTTATAAAATTCAAATTCAATTTCGGTTTGAAGTGTGTTTCGTGTCCTAAGGAAAGAAAACCAACTTTTCCAACATCCTTTATGATCATGTTGTTTGACAATTTCTGCGCTAGGCATTTGTATTATATTCCATTTGCCATTTTCCAACTCTGTATTCTATTTCTCACCCAATTTTAAAAAACAAAAAAAGAGAAGCAGAGAGAATAAAGCTTTACCCATAATGCGCCGTCGCCGACCGCCTTTGCCGTACAGCCTCTCTCCTCAGCTCCTCCGCCGCGAACAGAATTCTCCGACGATTCAGCTGATTTCGAGTTCCGAATTGGAAAATTTTGATTCGTATGTGTAAAACGAAAATGGCAGCGAACGCTTCCGAACCCACACGGACGCGTCCGAGGAGGGACTCGGCCCCGCCCAGTCGGCCGCCGCGAACTCGGTCCGCGTCGACGAGCGCCACCACGATGAGTTCGACTTCCACAGTGACCGGCGCGTCTACATCTTCGTCGGTTGCCAGCCGGACCTCCCTCGCCAGTCTCCGGGAATCGTTGCCGGAGAATCCTCACATCTACGACGTCGCCGAGATCCGCGCCGCCACCAACAATTTCCTCGCCCGCCGCCTCTCTTCCTCCTCCTCCACGGCGTCGTGGCGCTGCCATCTGCGCGGGAAAGAGGCGGTGGTGTTCCAGAGGAAGTTCAGGCGGAGAATCGCCATGGATGAGCTCAGGGATCGTCTATCCGTCATCTGCCGGAGTCACCACGGGAGCATCGTCAACCTCCTCGGCGCCTCTGTATCCGGCTCTCGCGGCGGTGGAGGTGGAGGCGATCACATCTACCTAGTGTACGAGTACGTCCATGGAGCAACCCTCGCCGAGTGCCTCAGAAACCCTAGGAACCCTAATTTCACTGTACTCTCAAGCTGGACCTCGCGGATCCGAATCGCCGCCGATCTAGCCCACGGCCTTGATTACATCCACAACAAGACCGGGTTGAAGATCCGAAACCTAGTCCACAACCACATCAAGAGCTCTGCTGTCATCGTGACGGAGCCAGACTTCAACTCAAAAATCTGCCACTTCGGCACCGCCCAGCTGTGTGGCGAAACCGACGAAATGTCTCCGGAGACAGACGAATCGCAGAAGTTCAAGCGATCGGACAGCAGAGCGCTCAGATTCGAAGGAGTGAGAGGATACATGTCACCGGAATTTCAATTGACGGGGATCGCGACGCAGAAATCGGACGTCTACGCCTTCGGAGTGACGATGCTCGAGCTCCTCTCCGGCGAAGAGCCTCTGAAGTACAGGCTCAACAAGTCCACCGGGAACTTCGAGCGGACGTCGGTGATAGAGACGGCGGCGGAAGCGATCAACGGTGAAGACGGCGAGAGAGAGGGGAGGCTGAGAAGGTGGATGGATCGAAGGCTGGGGGACTCGTTTCCGGTGGCGGTGGTGGAGAAGCTGACGAGATTGGCATTGGAGTGCGTGGAGGAATCGCCGGATCATAGGCCGGAGATGGGAAGAGTCGCCGGAAAAATTTCGAAGCTGTATTTGGAATCAGAGAAATGGTCGGCAAAGATGAAACCGCCGGTGGATTTCACCGTGTCGTTGGCTCCCAGATGATATGGCGCGCGGCTTCCTTATTTTAATTTAATAATTGGAGTGAATTTTCCTAATTATAATTTCAGTTGTAATTAATTTATTATGGAGTTCCTTTATTTTGTAGGTTTCTGATTCTTAGAAATAAAAAATAATCCTGTAGTTGCGTCAGAGAATTAGAGGGGAAAAAAAGCGGATTAGTTATAAATAGTTTCTTTATAATTAGAATTTGATAAAGTTAAACTTTTGTTTATCAAAAGAAAATTTTTGTTACTTTTTATAGTCAAATGGATAAGAAACATAATAATAATAATAATAATAATAATAATAATAATAATAATAATAATAATAATAACAACAACAACAATGATCTGGTAAACAAAGGCGTCCATTATAATATTCAAATCGTTTTGTATGCCATTTTTTTAAATTAAAATTTAGAATACATGGTATTACATTTGGAATGTGTATAATTTTAAATCGTTGTCAACAAGATCTGCAACGAAATCACATCTATTTTTTAATACCCTAGGAGCCAAACAAAATCTCTATGCAGGGTCATTAAATTTGGTGACACAATAATAATATCTTTACATTTAAACATACATATATTATATACAATAAGCATTGACCATGACTTGCTTTGGATGATGAAAATGAAAAATAAAAATGAAATAACACCATAGTCCAATCGAAAGGAAGAACATGGTCTACTCTCGTTACTTTCCACAGACGGTATGCTTTCAGTAAACACTACGACCCATCCTAATAAATGATTACAAAGCCATTGGTCGGCCAAACATGGGAATGCAGAAACATCCTTTGCTTACGATGCATCATTCATCATCATCATCATCATCATCGCCATCCTTATCATCATCATAGGGCCTTTGATCAAACGCTGCTCTATCCTCGGCCAGATCAGGCTCGAATTCTGATCCTTTGTCTCACGATATCATAAGTTGAACAAGGGCATGGCTTGAGCCACCCTTCAAGTTCAACTGCTTTCTCGTCTTGGCAAATCGACTAATAAAATAGATGCAACTTCATCTATAGCGTGGCCACGCGTTTTCATAGTCCGACTTCCACGAGAGGGCCCAGCGATATCTCTCCTGTTAAGGAGGTGACAAATCCCATATTGCATGTCTACTATCTCCATATGATTCGTGAACGTGTCTGATCAACGCCGTTATAATCATCCGGTTAAAGACGACGTTTGACGCAGTCAAGACACGCCACTCCTCATATCAGATACTCTAGACATCTCAGGTATGAGGATCCATAAACGAACCGCTGTATGAGATTTAAGTCATGACTCTGTCCATGTGACAATCTCATGCGGGTCATCCAGTCACTCGTTCACAACGAGTACCCATGATTGTGACATGCATCCAATGCATCGATCACTCCTCATGCTAGTCTTAATTCAACATTGTTCCCACAATGTTGACTGACTAGGGAGTTTAGAATCATTCGCTAATGATTCAAGGATGCCGAAATATAACAAACATGCCAATCATATAACGGGAATGTAATGCATTCATAAATCAATGAATCAATACAAAGTCAAAATGTCATATTACGGATTATGCTAGAGCATTACAACCAACAGTGTTTTCTTTATGGAAATGTCGACTGTACCGTTCTCGTTGGGAATGGGATTTCCGGGTTCAACCCAGGCTACTCAGTAAGCAGTTGTGCTTAGCCCTCTTGGTTTACATTTTTCAGATCACGAGGCCTAGCGCATCCGGCAGACGATGACCTGATAGAGGCAGCATCATGTACGGGATTTACATTTTGGGTTACGGGACTTGTATTTCCCGCATTTTGTATGGTTAAATTATAACTATTCGGACATGTGTTATTTTGCGATACTAATCGCTTGTTGTACTTCCTGCTGTTTACTCTGGTTTATTTAAAAATGTTTTTGGATTTCGTATTTTTGCTTCCGCAATTTATTATTTTATTGTATATCGTCTATGTGACACAACCCGTATACTGTACACGGGTTACGGGTGTCACAGTGTTCCTTAACGGGAACCTACTCGAGGATGTGTATATAATACAACCCGAGGGTTTTGTCGATCCTGAGAGTCCGGGGAAGGTGTGCAAGCTTCAGAGGTCTATTTATGGGATGAAGCAGGCTTCAAAAAGCTGGAATCTTTGATTTGATGAGAAAATCAAATAGTTTGGTTTCTCTCAAAACGAAGATGAGCCATGTGTTTACAAGAAGGCCAGTGGGAGCCCGGTTGTTTTCCTGGTGCTATACGTGGATGATATCCTGCTCATAGGAAACGATGTTCCTACCTTGCAAGACATTAAGTCTTGATTAGGAACACAGTTCTCTATGAAGGACTTAGGGGAAGCTGCCTATGTCTTAGGCATCGAGATCTATAGAGATAGATCTCGAAAGCTTCTTGTCCTAAGTCAGAGTACATACGTCGACAAAGTTCTGAATCGGTTCAGAATGCAAGAGTCGAAGAGAGGACTCTTGCCGATGTATCATGGTGTTGTTCTCAGCAAGACTCAGTGTCCTAAGACACGTGATGAGCGAGAATGTATGGATAGGATCCCATATGCCTCGGCAATAGGATCTATCATGTATGCCATGTTATGTACTAGGCCGGATGTGTCATACGCGTTAAGCATTACGAGCAGATACCAGTCGGATCCAGGAGAGTCACACTGGATCGCAGTCAAGAATATCCTTAAGTACTTGAGAATGACTAAGGATTTATTCTTGATATATGGTGGGTTGGAAGACGAGCTCGCTATAAAGGGTTACACCGATGCTAGTTTCCAATCGGACCAAGATGACTACAGATCGCAATCAGGCTATGTCTTCTGCTTAAATGGAGGCGCTGTTAGTTGGAAGAGTTCCAAACAGGCCACCATAGTAGATTCTACTACAGAGGCTGAGTACATTGCCGCATCGAATGCAGCGAAGGAAGCTGTTTGGATCAGGAAGTTTTTGGGTGACCTGGGCGTTGTGAACCTCATTTTGTTATACTGTGATAACAATGGGGCGATAGCATAAGCTAAGGAACCCAGGTCACATCAACGATCCAAACACATACTCAGACGGTTTCACCTCATAAGGAAAATCGTAGATAGAGGTGATGTGCACATATGCAAGATATCGACGGATGACAACTTTGGATCAGGAAGTTTTTGGGTGACCTGGGCGTTGTGAACCTCATTTTGTTATACTGTGATAACAATGGGGCGATAGCATAAGCTAAGGAACCCAGGTCACATCAACGATCCAAACACATACTCAGACGGTTTCACCTCATAAGGAAAATCGTAGATAGAGGTGATGTGCACATATGCAAGATATCGACGGATGACAACATAGCCGATCCCTTGATGAAGCCTCTCCCTTCGTCAAAGCATGAGGGTCATGTTCGGGGAATGGGACTTAGATGCATTGTAGATCATACTTAGAGCAAGTGGGAGACTGATGGATGTGATGCTCTAGGATGATCATACAATATGAGAACTATGTATGATACCATGTATTTATTGGATGAATGCATTGTTTGTTCATTATTTATTTTGCATATTTGATAAATAATGACATCTATGGATCGTTATGAACGATCCTAAATTCCTTAGTCGCTTGTCATTGTGGGAGCAATGATGAATTAAGACTAACGTGAGGCGTGATGGATGATCATGGTAACGATCATACGTATTGGATACGGATCACGGTCATGAGTACTTGTTTGGAACAAGTGACTGGATGACTCGCGTGAGATTGTCTATTGGATATAATCCATGACTTGAATCTCATTTGATGGTTCACTTTGGATCCTCAGACCTGAGATATCTATTGTATCCATCATGACGAGTAATGTACTTTGACTGCGTCAAACGTCGTCTTTAACCAGATGATTATAAAGACGTGCCTCGGGTACATTATGAACCATGTATTGGATAGTAGATAGTCAAGATGGAACTTTGTCCCTCTCGAAAGAGAGAGATATCGCTTGGGCCCGTCGTGGGAGTGAGACTGTAGAAATATGTGGCCGCACTATAGATGAATGTCATCTATCTCTTACAGTCTACTCGGGATACGACAAAGTATTCGAACTATGAGTTCGATTATGATATCATGAGACAAAGAGGATCATCGTTGGAGCTATCTCTGGCTTTTCGGTTAGATCACATCTAACTCTTTCCGATACGGGTAATCATAATGTCTTGCTAGAGACCGCTTATGGTTTGTGAAGCGAGATTGGATCTCGTGTTTACTATCGTATTCGGAGGAGCCTAAAGGGTCACACACATATGGGATGGACGTGTATGAACGAGATCGAATGGACGAGAAAAATCGGATTTTTCTTCGTTTTTGAGGTCTGGTCTGGAGCTGACCAAGAGTTGGTCAGCCGGGCCAGACGGACATGGGAGAGGTGGACCGAATAGCCGAAATAACTGCATGGTCCGGAGCTAACCAAGAGTTGGTTAGCCCCGGACCAGACAGTCAGTCGGAGCAGTCCGTGTTGTGTCGAACTGAGCTGGTCCGGCGGACCAAGTTTCTGGTCCGCCGGATCGCGAAAAATTTCGAACTGTCGGCAAGTCTGAGCTTGGTCCGGCAGACCAAGCGTCAGAAACTCCAAAGTGCGATTTTTCCGGCTTTTCTTGGTGGAAACAAGTAGGGAACGCACTCCTCTCTCAATCGTTCGACCTTTCAGATCTTAGAAGGTCTCTGGAAGTTGCATAAGCTCTCTCAAACTCAAGAAGGTGTTCTTGAGATCATACACAAGAGATTTGATCTCTTCAAGCTCTAGCAAGCAAGATTCCAAGAGTTGGAATCCATCCCAAGGGTGTGGACTGCTCAAGAGGGTGTTGGCTCCTTCAACACCTAGGCTGTGATCAAGCCAACCTCTCAGATTGTGAATCAAAAGGTTAGCTTTTCTCTCAAGAAAGTTCTTCATCGAAAGTTTGGTCTGTGTGCGGTTCAAAATCGTTTTGAACGCTAATTCCGCTGCGTAAGTCCGCGGACCAGATCCTAGCACGGTTTTGAACCGGCGGTCTAGGATCCCGTATGACCCATCAGTAGTATCAGAGCTCGGTTCTTCGTTTCGATGAAGAACGATTACTCTTGAGCAAGTTTGAAAATTGTTCAAACTTGGTTTTTCCTTGGTTTTGATCTAAGTTTAATCTGTTATAT